GTGTCAGAGGAGACTGCAGGAATTCAGAGCAGAAAATGGGAGGTCAGGCCTAGATGGAAAAGGAAGGGGTCTGAAGAGTTTAAATCTAACTTGAGTCAAAGGACTGGCTCAAGTCAGCAGGTCCTTTGGCACCGCGTGGTGTGACCGAAGGGAGGGACATGGAGGTTCTGAGACCCTTCTCAGGCTGGGTCAGACAATTCTCTTGGGATGTCCATCAAAAAGTGATAAAAGATGCAGCCTATGCACTGATTTCATAGAATCAGAGAGTGGTTTAGATTGGAATGGACCTCAGAGACCATCTAGTTCCAACATCCCATCACAGGCAGGGACACTTCTCTTCTGTTTAGCCCTTTCTATCTGGCCACAGACCATCGAGCACCAGAATGTGCCTTCACCTTCCACCACTCTGCAGCTCTCCAAAAACCCAAGTCCTCAATAAATCACCTTCTCCAACACCATCCCAAATGACTCCCATATTACCAGATGGTCAGTTACGATTCTAAGATATCAAACAACATTTATTTTATTGTATGCTTATGGCTGAGATTCAGAAATGAAACAAAACAGAGAGTTAAAGCCAAATCAAAAATTTGGAAGCTTTCCTCCCACTCAGTTTGTTTTCAAAAATATCCCATTGATTTTCAAACACATGTTTTATTGACTCCCAGCCTATTGACTCCCAATTACTCCTAAATTACTTCTGTAATTTCTGCTCTGGATACTGAAATGGCTTAAGACACCTTTGGAAGTCAGAGTCATTTCTATTTACTATTTTGTTCTATTTATTATATTATTTCCATTTCCATAAAAGTGTTTTGTCATTTTCAGAGTTTGCTCCCTTGTCTTTTTTACAGGAAGGCAGGGGATGGGAGCCAGATTTTACCAACAAATTTAAGAAACAAACAAAAGGACAAGGAGAGAGAAGATATAGAAAAGTAAAAATTTTGAAAATTATCCACGTGTCAAAGTTTTAACAATAGGTAGGTTTACACTGCCTTGAAATTAAAAACATTTATAATTACACAAAGGAGAATTAGAAGCCAAATGAATTACCAAACCAAGATGGCTCCAGTTGTGTTTGCCAGAATTTCCTGCTTTATTCCAATTAGCCATAACTTTATAATTTGCCTTTTTTCTCTGCACTAGTCATTCCAAGACAATGTCAGTGTTGAGTCCATAAGCATTTTGAGAATTAATTAAAATGTCATGAAATAGTTCTTTCATTAGCATATATATGGTCATAAAAATAATTATAATTACTTCTTAGAGGTGGAGGAGAGTTAAGTTTGATTGATGGAATTAATGAAAACGGGGACAGCTCCAACATACTAAATAGCAGAAACTTGGAGTATTAACTATCTACTGTGTGAAGTTGGAATAATTACAGCAAGGGCTGAAAAGATTAGTATTCAAAAAGAATAATGTACCTTAGAGCCTAAAATATCCGTTGCAAATTGTGAATGTATTTTCGACTGTTTATAACATTCTCAGAAGAAAAATATCATTTTGATTAACTTCCAAAGACTCCCAGATTAATAGGTATTTGCAGTCTTACAGAGAGTACAATCAATCCCTCTAATCTTGTTATCAGATGCTAAACAGCTGGGTGACCTGATTTAAGTGTTATGATTTTAAGGAAGTAATAATGTATAATAGTTTCCAAATGCCTGCTAAGAATTTGCAAGCTGTATAATACACCAAAAGATATGCAAATAAATGGCATTAAAAGAAACATTATAATTAGCCCAGGAATGCACATAAAGCGCTTGTGCAGCCATGAGCAACCTAATCTTATTTCAGTTGTGTTCCTTTTAATTTAGTCTCTCCTTTAAAGACCTGCAGCACAGCAATGATGGTTTTGGAAGCTCAGGTGAACCCACCCTGAAAATGCTGTTAAACTGAATAAAACCTTTTGATTCAGTAGTTCACAGGATGGGTCAGATTGGAAGGGACCAGTGGTTCCACCTCCAGCTGGGTCATCCCAGAGCACATGGGTTGTGTCCAGAGAATTTTGGAACATCTCCAGTGTGGAAGACTCCACACCCTCTTTGGACAATCTGTTCCAATAAGTTTTTCCTCATGTTCAGGTGGAACTTCCTGGGCATCAATTCCTGCCTGTTCCTGTCCCATCTGCTGTCCCAGAGCCTGGTCCACCCTCTGCCATCATCTGACACGCATTGGGAAGGTCCCCTCTCAGTGTCTCCTCTGGAGGCTGCACAGCCCCACCTCCCTCAGCCTTTCCTCACCACAGAGATGCTCCAGTCCCTTCAGCATGAATTAAAACCCTCTAATAAAACTGACCACAATTTGCAAGAACATTAAATAGTTAATATATATTGGTATATTTATTGTTCTTCTCCAGACAATTAATGTGCAAAAAAAACCCAACAACCAAGCAAACACAGGGCTAAGAGTGTCATTAAACTCCCTCTGCGGGGTCCACATTGTGAACAGTCCCCTTGCTGAGGTGGAAGTGGTCAAAGCTTAATTCTTCATGCAGAAATAACTAATTTTTTTAACACACTTAATTCCTTTGTCATTCACCCCCCCCCCCCATTATTATAAGTTATTTCCAGATGGCAGGCTGCTGATTTTTTTTCTTTTTTAAGAGCAACTGCCAAGTTTATGAAAAAATATCATGCAGAGGCATTAACTGTGTTTAAAGGTCTTTTCTTTTTTTGTAAGACAGTTCTAATCTCACATTCCCCTTTCTAATCACACAAACAGTTTAGGCTAAAAAAGCACTCCATGGTAGGAAGAGGGAGGGAGTGGGCACCCACAGCTGTGCCTGCTGCTGCCAGGGAGTTTGTTTTCCATCCTTGTGTTGATAGAGATGCTCTGACAATTGTGCTGCCAGATTCTCACAAATGCCATGTTTTGCAAACTGCCAAATTAAGGAGTGAAGATCTTGGGTTTAAAAGCATCATGTTTTAAATATTTCTCTTTTTTTTTTTTTTTTTTTGCTATTAAGGGAACATATGGTGGAAAGCAACACATTTTAAATGGTCTTACTGATGGCTGGTGCCCAGGGGAGGATTACTCTATTAAGAGGAGTATGAGCTACTTGGAATTATTGATCAGAAACTTCCACCAAACAGTGGAAATACCTGTAGTGTCTCATTGAAAAAGGATTTAATTTGTGCTTTTCATTCTGTTTGAAAAGAAACTACTGCCACAAACTTTCAGCCAACTGAGTGCCCCTTCCCTTGAGCTGGATGTTATAGGGATGAAATTGTACTTTCTCCCTCTCAGACTTGGTTTACAACTCCTTGTATATAAACCACACATGCTTTGGTAGGACTGATTTATCTTCAGCACTGTAATAGAATTGAGGAATCAGATGAGCCTGGAATAAAGCATTGCAATTTCTAAACCAAACAGCAGCAGGAGGACAATCACAGGGTGCCAAGGTCTGTTCCAGGGTTACTCCATTCCATAAGGATCTGTCATGTCAGGGAGGGCTCAGCCACACAAAGAAACATTTGCAACCAAGTTGTACGGGATAATCAGAGAATTCTTCCTCCTACCAAAGGTGCCTTTGCAGCTAACGTGGATCTCCACACATCCCCCTGTGTTCCACGAGGGCAGCTCTGCCCTTCAGCCAGGCCTGGCAGCTCCTGTTCCCTGCAGAGCACCCCGTTTTTTACAGGGGGACTCCCTGAACTTCTACACATTTATTTCTTCCTCCTGCATTTCTATGACCAGTGTCTTAAACCCAAGAGTTCCCTCCCTTCAAACAATTGTACTCCCTCTGTGAGTTGAGAGTGGGGCTTTCATCAATTATTCACTGCTCTGAAGATGTAAGAACTATCTCAGGGCAAAATTGGGTTTCTTCTCACTCCTCAGAAGCAGGAGTTGGAAAATGTGTGCACCTCAGCAGGGAGCACATGGGAGCTCCACTTGCTTTTAAGGGAAGGAAAAATCCACCTCTGGCACACTCTCCTTGCATATTGGAACGAGGACCTCCAGCTCAACAGCATTTCCAAGACTTATAAATAGGGATGTTGAAAGAGACTGACATTTTTCAAGTAGAACTGTCAGAATTATTCCACACCAACTTCACCTTTTTTTAATCTTATTCATATTTAACATTCTCCATAGAGGGTTCCTACCTCTGAAATTAAGAAAAAGGAATGTAGGTATAGGAATGAATTCAAGTTTTTTTTAATGCATATTTTGCTTTTCTCTCTCTTTGGTTTTCCCCCAATATCATCTTGATTGCAATTGTTAAACCAATGACATTAAAGAAGTTTTCATATGGTTGTTTTCCAATTAAATATTCCTCTATGTGATGATGTAGATTAATTAATTTGGCATAGGAAATAATGTGTATTCATTAACATGCCATGAGTTACATTTTCCAAAATCTCTCAACCCTCCTACAATAATTTTTCCCAAAATTGCCACTGATAAACCTTTCAGTGTGCCAAAAGAATTAGGCTAAATTTAAGCTTTTCTGATAATCCTAAATAATGCTGAGATCCCACTGTTTATCTTCTAAAGTATTTACCATGAAATAAGAAGAGTAAGGCTCAGAAGACTAGAACTATGTTTCTTAATTTAAAATAAATTTGGGGGTTCGCCTCTCTCTATCCCAAGGAAAACAAACCCAGCAACAACAAAGCCCTGGAAATGGTCCTTATAAGCACAGCTTATCCTACTGAGATTTCTACGTGCACATTTTACAGAAAATATAATCATTAAAAACTAACTCCAAAAAAAATCAGGGTCTAAGGAGATTATGAATAGAGGATATTGTTGGCTTTGTTTTTAATGAGATACTGCTGATTTTTTTAAAGCTTTTTTTATTCCTATCCACATTTTTACTCACATTCAGTGTAACCCAAGTTATTTTCCAACTAGTTCTCTTAAACAGGACAAAACCCTCACATCTCCTGCCAGTTTAGAAATATGCAGGTGCTTGCATCTTTCTGAGCCTTTGTGAATATTGTACAACTTTCAAGTCTAACCTACTTTTCCTTCTCTTTTTTTTTTCCTAGAAATATTCTATAATCCCTTATGAACGGTGCAAAAGATTCACAAATTCCAACTACTGCATAAAGTGGCAAAAATTAACATCTTCAAGATTGTCACTGAGATGGGCAGACATCTCCCCCCACCCAGCCCCAGCAGGCTGGACTTTGATGAGCCAGGCTTTAAAAAGGAATTTTTAAACCTATTGGAAAAACATAATGCAAATGATGAATATCCTGCAAAGTTACCTGTTCTGCCCTGGATCAAAACATGCTGGAATAGACTGAAAAACAGGACTTTTTACCCTGTTAAGTTTATTATGCTCTTCATCCCTGAAGTACTGCGTTTCCCAAATGGCTGAGTGTAGGAACTCTTCGGATAATGGTGGGTTTGGGTTTCAATTTTCCCCTGTCCCTGAATCTACCAAGTAAATAAGCCCATAAATAAAACATGCAGTGCCTTGATGGGTGGAAATCCAGACTGGGTTTGGAACACACGTAGTTTATTGACTCAGAACATATGATTTTTGGGACTAGGAGGCAGCAGCTTCTTCTGACGTCCTGAGAACTAGAACTGCCCTCCATTCACACCTTACAATGCAGCTGAATTAAGAAAACACTTGTAAAATGCAATTTAAAAATATCCCATAATGCAATTAAAAAATACCCCATAATATATTTTAAGTCTTGAAGGAGAACACAACAATATTATATCCCCATTCTAGAATTTGATTTCGGAAAGCCACAGAAGAAAAAAACACCGAATTATGCAGAGGTTCAGCCTGTTCATTGGGCCAGAAGAATAAAAGTAATCCTTTGAATGAAAGGAATAAATCTGCTGGCAAAATCTCATCATAAAAATCTACTTTGGTTATGAAAACACAGAGAATGTTCCTGTCCAAAAGATCCAGTGAAAACTGAAGGGAAAAAAAACCCCAGCATTCTCAACTTCAGAGTACATGACATTTAATTACCAGAGGCTGCTCTTCACAGAAGATGTACAGCAAACTGCAGGTCTTGTTGCACTGCAGGAAACTATTATATTATCAAAGATTTATTTCTTAAAAGTGCAGCCACTTCAGCTAAAGCAGCCAATGATACAATCCATGCAGGAGAGGTGGCTTGGTGGTGGTACTACAGAAAACAACAGGCTTTTTTGTTTCTGACAAAGACAATATTTCCTGCTCATGACCATTAAGAATGGGACAAATCATCAGCTTCAGCCTTTCTGCTCGTTCACCGAGTCTTTCCCCTCCAAAGATGAGTTTCCTTTTAAAAGAAATTCCATGTTAAAATTTTCCAGCCTTTCCCAGTGCTCCCCTCAGACACACAAGGTGCCCCCACATGTATCAGCAAGGCTCCCTCCACCCCAGCCTGCAGACCCTCCTCCACTATATTTTCTACCACAAAATATTGTATTTTTAGACCTTCAGAGAGTGTAAATCTTTGTGACATCTTTACCATAGTGTTATCCACTGTCCCCTGAAAGAATGAGCCATTTCCCCTTTCGGGGTGGTCATAGGGCACCAAAGTTGTCTCCATTCTTTGATGGTTTCTTTGTATAAAGACACCCCTATAATAAAAGTTTAGGAATGAAATGAAGAAAAGGAATGAAGCTTTTAGGTTCAAAGATCAAAAGTAATGTTGCTTATTTTATTTTATGGGGAAGAGGGTCAAGAAGTGAAAATATTGTTTTCCTATATTAAAATGCAGCTACATGAGAGCTGTGATTTTCTGCTGTAGGGAAAGCACTGGGCCTTTAATCATGACACTTTTATAGCTATTGAGAATTTAGATCCAAGTAATAGGCCCTTGAACATCAGAATTTTGCTAAAGACTTGAAAGAAGTGGTTAACTCTTGTTTGGACTGTAATACTCAATTGATAAAACAATTTCCCCCTTCTTTCTATAAAAAAACACCTCCAAAGGATAAAGTTTTATTTCCATTTTCTGCCTTAACAGCACTTCTTTTACTAACTCACCCAGATACCAGATTGTGCAATAAGGTGTTGATACACACAAGAAAAAAATAAAAACAACCAACCCAAAACTCCAGGTTATGACACACACACAGAGAATTTGCTAAAATATAACCAAACTTGTTTTACAGGCCACTGCTCTGGGATATGTATTTTTACTCAACATCTTTGATTATGCTGCCACCAGCAGCTTTTAAGACATAAAAAAGGCAAATGACAGGTGCTGTCAGTGACTGGAACAAAAGCTGTGGAAGTTCACTGAGCGTGTAATTCGGCAGATTTTAGCAGAGCCGAAAACCCACCGTGGCTTTGACTGACTTGATCTTTCAGAAAAAGCTGTTTGAGGGGAGAGAGTCCCGAAATAATGAATTGGATGGAGCCTTACATAACAGAGAACTCCTCGGGGTCTTGTCTGCTGCCTTATCTCATCAATTGTAATGATTTTCATGTTAGATCAAAGAAGAGCATAAAACAAAACTGAGATGAAAACAACTATTCATTGCCCTCGAGTGAATAGCTTTTGTTTTAGGACACTCCTAAGGAGCACTGGAGAAGGTATTTCTTTCTTTACACAAATCACTGCTCTGTAATCTGTTCTGTGACAGCACCAACAGCTCCACTGGTGGAGGCACAGACACCTCAAAACAAGTTTATCTGTTATGGGTGGCCAGGTGGAGCCACTATTCCCTTCGGGATTTGTTTTTTTCAATTTTTATGAGGAATGGGGATGAGAAAGGAAGATTGTCTGCACAATAAAAACAATTAAAAAAGCACAATTTTTGATTTGAAAATGAAGAAGAAAGCAGTTGGTAGCTTTTTCAGCAGAAAGAAGGGGCAGGAATACATCAAATTTCGTGTGTGCAGCAAGAGTGATGTTTGCTCTGCTCCATTCACCACAAGATCTTTGTCCTGGGAAAAATACCAGGGAACAAGGACACAGGGAAAGGTTTTCCCCTCTCTCAAGGATTAGTAGAAAGTTATGGAAAGTAGAAAAAATAGTTATGATGCAACCTTTTAAGACACTCAGAAGCAGCACCAGAAAAGGTATTTCTTTCCTAACACAAATCCCTGCTCTGTTATCTGTTCTCTGACAGCACCTCCAGCTCCACTGGTGGAGGCACAAACACCTCAAAACAGGTTTATTTGCCTTTCCTCTCGTGTCATGGGCAGTCAAGTGGAGCCCCTGCTCCCTTTTGGGATTTTATTTTAATTTTTTGGATAAGAGGGGGAAGAAAATAAGATTGTCTCCATAATAAAAACAATAGGAAAATACACCTAGAGATTTGAAAACAAGGAATACATCCAATTTCAGGTGTGCAGCAAGAGTGATGTTTGCTCTGCTCCGTTCACCACAAGGTCCTTGGCCTGGGGAGAACATCATGGAACAAGGACACATGGAAAGGTTTTCCCCTCTCTTAGGGATAAGGAGAAAGTAATGGAAAGTAGGAAAAATAATTACAATGGAACCTTTTGTTGGTGACAGAGCACCACCCTCCCTGGCTTGCCAGACCATTAAGCTCAGGGAACAGGAATTTCTGAAAACTAATTTATGTCCAAAAGGACTGTTGCATCATGAACATGGTATCAAATTCCAAAGAAACACATTTTTCAGCAGAGATTGATCCTACTAAAATTCAAATATTGGTAAATTGTACTGGTTAAAAAGGGCAGTTTAATTTATCAGGTTGCAGAAATTAGGAGAGAGACTTTAGCCTTGTTCTGCGAACTCCAAGCAGTTTAGAAGACAACAATGAAATCAGATACAATTAAAAAGAACTTTTAAAAGTGCAACTTCTTTGTACTGAAACCATAATTGTGTATTTACCACAACTATCAAATTTAATTTCCACACAGGGATACAGTGACACAGAGAGGGGATTTTGAGGAATGATCTACTAAAAAGAAAAAATAAATCAGAAATTATTTTTCAGACTCAGAGACAAGTAATTTTTTTTCCTTTCTTCATGCATTACGAATAAATTAATTCCCCTAAAATTATTAATACAGAAGTATTTTATATAGTTCAGGAATAAAAAAAAATCTCATGAAAACTAAAATGAAAATGCTTATTATCAGAAATGAAAAAATAATAATTTGTCAAAGTTAACTTCATCTTCAGTTCATGAAATATTCATGAGCAGAGCTTGAGTCCTTTAAATTTGTTTTTTGGACCTATGTAGTATTTGCTCCTTCCAAAGTGCTTTATTATTGATCAGCACTCTGGATCTCATGTGATCCTTCCTGTGGAAAAATCACATTTCATCCCTGGAATTTCCCTCTCTTGATTGGATTAATAAGATTCTCTAAACCAGTTGTTCTTGGTGTTGTCTCAAGGGCTTTGAAACACTCAGAGAGGGTTGGAAGATAAGTGGGTTAGGAAATGACAGAAAACACTAAAGCTTTTTCTTTCTGGCTCACTGAGGCCTCAGAGTCACAGTTCCCACAGGATAATGTAAAATTTAGTGGCTGCTTACAGAATTTGAATTTAATTTGCCTTTTTCCATGGTCATGTATGTGCATGAGCTGAGAAATGAAGGAAGGAAGTGGATATTTCCCACCTGAGCCAAATGCATGGCTGGGGATCTCAGGATCTGCCCCTTTGCTGGGGTGAAATATCCACTAACACCGCTAACAAATTTTCTTATAAAAAGATATTTAATGAATGAATTGAAATTTTTCCTAATAGTCTCCACATCTCTTGCAATATTCACCTAGTTATTACTCAAAGCTGCTACCAATTACTCCAAGTAATAACAGGAAAAACTGTTATTTCAAGAATTATTTTATTTAAAAATAATTTTATCCAGAATTGGATTTTGTAGTCAGAGTGCTCAGCTATGGAGCAGCCTGACAAAACCAGATCAAAGCACACTCAAGTTACCCTCAAAGTTAAGGTCTGTGGGAGGAAGGAAAAATAAAAATACAGGATGTGACACAGAGGGTAAAGAAGAGTATAGGGTGTTTTCTCTAATACAGGCCCAGAAGAATTAGACTTAAAATTTCTTTGAGAAGGTTTAATTAAAAAAATAGACATCACAACAAAAAGCCTCAAAAGCCAGATTGCTTCCTATCAACCCTGGTGGTTTCCAGCTTTGATGAATTATTAGACAGGGGATAAATAACCCATAGAATGAAAAGAGAGAAAAGGAATTCCTTTTATTAAGGATATAAATAACTTAGACCAGTGTGAATTCTCAGTAAATATAAAGAGTGAAAGTCATGTTCAGTTGAAGGCTTTGACTTGATTGTACAGAGAATTCTTCAG